GAGGTGACCTTGTGATGCAGAGGGTGACAAAGACCATTGCGCTTATGGATGGGGTTGCTAAGCTTGATGATCCTTAGTGCGAGTTTGTTGCTTAGGGCTTGTACTGGAGTTTCTAAACTCTACTTTGCTTTGCATACTTGTCCCCCTAGTACTTTTGAGGTGGCTCAGCGCACTTTCGACGAGGCACTTCGATCTTCCTTGGAGCGTATCGTTGCTACTTCAGGGCCTGGGTTTGGCAATTGGCAATGGCAGCTTGCCACCTTACCTTTTGCGTATGGCGGACTAGGTGTTTATTCCGCAGGTGATTTTCGTCATTATGCTTTTCTTGTTTCGCGGTTACAGTCTGCTGGGTTGCAAACACAGCTTCTACGGCATACTGGTGTTGTGGGCCTTGGTCGAGCATTTGAGGATGCGTTGGGCTTGTTCAATAGAACGGCGGAGTCTGACATTTTAAGTAATCCTAGTGAGGTCGCTGCCCCTAAAATCAAGAAGAAATTGGCAGATATATATTTCACAAAGGTTACCGATTCTGCAGAATCCACCTTCTCTTTATCTCCCCGTCAATCAGCTTTGTGGAAATCGCAGCAGGGAGATCACACCTACGCTTGGCTTCGGGCGGTTCCTATCTCGGGCTTGGGTCAGACGATGAACGCAAAGACTTACCGATGTGTGTTGTGCTACCGCTTAGGTGTTTCATTGTTCTCTGTCTCGACGTCGTGCTCTGCTTGCTCTCGGGTTTTTACTGGGGATATTTTTGGTGATCACGCGGTGTCGTGTGCTGGTATTGTGGGTATTAAACATCGGCATAATGTTGTCCGGGATACCCTTGTTGATATCTGTTACAGATCTGGGATTTCAGCAAGAAAGGAGGTTGACATAGGGTTGTCTGGAGGGAATGACGGGGCCCTCAGACCTGCTGATGTGTTACTTTATTCATGGGATCGTGGTCACGATGTATGTGTGGACTTAACAGGATCTTCTCCTTTGACACAGACAGGCCTATCTGACTTTGTTCCTGGACGGGTTGTGGTTGATGCGGCTCATCGGAAGCGGGTGAAATATGAAGCTAGTTGTCGGTTGATTGGATATGGTTTCATTCCCTTTTCCTTTTCTTCGCTTAGGGAATTAGAGAAGGAGGCTGTTGTGTTGCTGAAACGGGTTCAGAGGTTCTCGACGACGCAAGACATTGGGGCTCGTGCTGCAGCTCATATCTTCACTAGGGTAGGCTTTGCTATAACTAAAGGAGTGGGGGCCCAGATTGTTTCTCAGCTTCCCACTAATTTATTGTAGGTTGTATAAATTTGTTTGTTTTTTGAGATAATAATAATAATAATAATAATAATAATAATAATAATAATAATAATAATAATAATAATAATAATAATAATAATAATAATAACTACTCTTTTTTTCATCCCATTAAAATTAGCATAGTTTCCATTTCAATATCGTAATAATAACAATATCTCGCTCTATGTTTGTAATACAAATTTTTAGAAAATTATTGCCTAAACAACATTTTAATGAAGGAATTCTCTAGCTATAATAATTTAATAATACGCGTTGGTATTAAATTATACTTTTGATAACACGATATTATAGATGATTTATATGTTATATTTGGTCATGATTTATTGTGTTTTCTCCATTCTCCTAATCTTCTAGAGCTATTATTTTTCCTGTTTCCATATTACTCTCCTCGGTATGTTTTCTTTTGTTTTTGTAGGAAAATGGCTCGGTTTGCTAGATCTTTGCCTTGATCGTGGTTCGATTTGCTAGAGGAAGCGTTTAGTGTGTAATGGGAGGCGTGGCAACCTACTGCACAACTTGCCTGTGGCAAATAGCTCCTGCCACAACCCGCTTGTGGCCGTCCTTTTGGTTAAGCATTTGGTGTCCTAATAAGATAGAATTTCCTAGTTTTGTACTAGGATATAAATAGGTTGATAAGAAGATCAATAAGGAGACTTCTGATATTCGTTATATTTAGTTTTACATTATTCGTTGTTTTATTCTCTCTTTTATTATTCAAGCCTTATTCCATTGAAGAATTTATTCAAGCTTCCATTAATTCAATTCAAGTATTTTCTTTCCTTTACTTTATTATATTATTGTTATTATGTTTTCTCTTATTGTTTATTTTATTTATTTAATTATCATGTGTGAGTAGTTTTATAATCTAGGGTTAGGTTGAACCCTAATATGGATTGATGTGTTAATTGTTTCTCGATTCCCAATTTTATTAATTAATAATTCTTCTTTGTTAGGGTTGGTTTTATTATCAATGAACAACTAGAAATAGTGTTATTGAATGTGATTAGGTTTGCAATGAGAGTTGATTCTTAATTGATTTTAGAACCCTAATTAAAAGTAAGAACCTTTATGTATGAGAATAGCTAATTGTTCTTGCTATGACTTATAGGATGCCGTCCTCAAATCAATGTCTTTAATATGTATGATTCCATGAGAATAGGTATGATTGCGTGTTAGAGAAGCCACTTGTTGGTCGAAAGAAACTCTTGGTATTGTTATAGGAAGCATTCGTCCTGTAGAATGTTTATTAATCTAATTGAGGGAAGATGGATTGTTTTAGTGCATTGATTTGTATTAGTGGGAATACTTATTCCTAGATGTCTTTAATTCTTGATTTATACCTGATTATTTCATTGATAGAATCTACTTTAGTATAATTTCATAGATTTGTTTGGTTACTTGCTTATCTTTAATTCAAGTCAATTTGATTAGTTTAAATCAGTTAGTCTCTTGGGATTCGACCTTTTCTTGCCCGACTACATAGTTAGTAGATCGAATTAGGTATTATTTTTGTTAGGCTCGTGACATGCCTATCAACTTCAAATGGTATCATCACGATACCAAAATACTTGTTCACTTGTACCAACGAATGCAAAATGTTTTGTTAGTATCGATATATTCGACGTTGGTATTCAGACGACACCATCTAAACACAATATAATACCAACACCGTGTTATTAAAGTCATTTATGATTCAAATTATTATAGGTAGAGAATTCCTCATTTTAATGTGCCGTAGCTATGTATGAACTTACGGCTGACCCAATCACTATTGAATGAAAGGACAGTTTAAAAGGGGTCCAAACTCGCACTTTCATGTATTCATGATCATCACTTGACAGCTTACCTATTTCTCTTATCAGGCCGTTATACACTACTGTAATTTTTTTTTTTTTTTTTTTTTTTTTTTTTTTTTTTTTTTTTTTTTTATATTTTTATGTTTATTTTTTCCCCTTTTTAGTGATAAATGGCTGCTTTAGCCCCATTTTTTAAATAACAGTCTAGAAACATGCCAATCACTAACTTTTCGTTTAAAAAAACCTCTTAAAGCTGTTTGTATTGACTAGTTCTTGTACATTTCTGGGTTTTTATTTTTTTTTTTTCATTTTTTTTATTAAAAGTTGAAATTATTAATTCTGTTAGTTGAATATGTGGAAGTGATGGAGTTATAATACGTTGGACTAATAAAATGACATAATATTGTCCTAAGCTCTTTTTCTATTTGATCAAGTCAAACCTTTTTTTTTTTTTTTGGGGGGGGGGGGGGGGGGAGCACTCTTTATTTTATTAAAGTTCTTGATTAACAATAACAACCTACCCTCCTTGTTTCGTGTACATTTTTGTTTAAATTACTAGCTGAAATTCAAATTTAGATGACTATTGTATTTGTTAAATATGGAACAATAAATAGATTAATAAGCAAATCGAACACATAAATATATTGGGTGTTTTCTATTGTATTTGACCTTTGTTTTGTGTAAATGACTATATGGTGGTCTTTTGGGAGATATGTGAAAAATAAGTAAATGATTCAAGAAATGAGTTTATATTAAATTAATTACGAATAGGACACATGCATGTATCTAAGTGCAACCTTGCGGTCGATGCGATGATGATTCATCTAAAAACCATTACTTATAGAAGATGAGTTTAATATATTTCGTATTTGCTTAATAGTTTTAATAATATAAAATTTGTAGCTAGTCATATATCTCTAAAAGTCAAAATTGGAATTTTGTATTGAGGGGAACTAGTAGTAGATTAAACTTGTACATTTGCAAGCCACCAAGTGATTAAATAAGTAGGATTAACATTATGGCTCTTTTATGCATAGAAGTAGTCTATGTGGAGATGTCTCTTGATAGTTAGTATCTTCTAATTTATTTATTTTCTTTATATATTGTATATATCTCTACTATAATTCGTAAAATTCTTATCATAACTTATTAATATTATACATTGGAATGGATATATATGAACTATGAAATTGTATATAGCTACTTGGTTGGGTCATGGACCAGCCTAACCAACTCAAAGCACGCAAGCTTGACACAAAACACATATGGAGTACGACATAGTACGAAGCCATCTTTACATACCTAAAAAAGAACATTGCCGATTCAAATCAAACATTTGTGCTACATGTCAGCTTATGAATAATACTCTGTATTAATTTCAGTAGTTAAGGCAGGCTAGCACATGAATCTATTAATAACGAAAATGTGAAAGAGTTTTTATTTTATGGACCCTTTTTACTCCATCTGTTTGTATAATTTTATTATTATTTTTTTTGAATAAAAATTCTTGATGTAACTGAATTCTATTAAATGCAGTGGGCTGGTCAGATTGCAAGGTTTGCTTTCCTTTCATTTTCCTCCATTGATATCCTTCCTTTTTAGCATAATTTGAAATCAAAGAATCAAAATTTTAATAAATAAAATAAATATAAAAATAAAACCCAAATCATGAAACCTTCCTATTACAAAACCCCCAATTGAAAAATTCCTTAACCCTTGTTTGTCCTCTTCTTTACTCACTCAATCCCAAAACCCTGATTCTCTTTCTCTTCAACCTCCAATTTCTCTCTCCTCTATTTCACAAAAGATCATTCGAACCCCAGAAATTAATTTGACCTTTTTTCTGGGTTTTTGATTAATTTTTCTGGGTTGTTTTTTATTGTTTATAAAAAAATGAGGAACATAGCAACTTGTTACAGTGAACATGCTGTAAGAGTTTCAGATTCATATTGTTCAGGACCATTAAACAAGTCTTACATCTCACCGAAATCATCACCTTCAATCCAAAATGTTGTCACCTGTACATACAAAACCCTGATTTCTAACCAAAAACGTTTGTTCGTCACAATTTCATGGTGTAGTAAGATGATTTGTCAAGGTTTTTTCATCAAAATCAGTGAAAAAATGTCAAGGGTGAATCATTACCAACAAGGGTTTCATCAATTACCCAAAACAAAGGGTACAAAATTTATAGAAGATTTTAGAGATGATCAAAAGAAGTTGAGCATTTCAGTCCATTGGGATCTCTCAGCAGCAGATTTCGAGGCCGGGCCAGAGCCGATCAAAGGTTTCTACATCGTCCTCTTGGTGAATTTCCAGTATGCACTGGTCCTTGGAGACATGGATCATGACCCTTTTGTAAGAGGTTTGATTGATACATGGATTGTTCCGAAGCTCGCATTGGTCTCCCAATGCGAGCATTACAACGGGCAATGGAATAGTCAAATATCCTCCAAGGCGAAATTCAATGACAATGGAGATGAACATGAGATTATGATCAAATGTTGTCCGGACGAAGACGGGCCAAGGAGCCCGGTGTTATCGGTGTATATTGATAAGAAAAGGGTAGTTAAGATTAAGAGATTACAATGGAACTTTAGAGGAAATCAGGTGATATTTGTGGATGGGTTGTTGGTTGATGTAATGTGGGATGTGTATGGATGGTATTTTGATCAAACAGTTGGTGGGCATAATAGTAATAATGTTACTAATAGTATAAAAGGTGGTTGTGGCTATATCATGTTTAGAACAAGAAGTGGGTTAGATAGTAGGCTTTGGTTAGAAGAAGAAGAGAAGAAATTGGCTGATAATAAGCTTGGTAAACCTGAATTTTCTTTGTTAATTTGTGCTACTAATAAGAACCCTGGTTAATCCTCTGTTTTTTTGGGTACTTTTCTGATGTAAATTCTTTTAAAGTTTAGAATATAATGAAAAAAATACTAATTTGTGTGGATCATACTGTATAATTTTTGGTTTTTCAAGGAAGATTTTGTGGGGATGTTGATTGGAAATTGTGCTCTAGTTAGTTTTTGTTTTTGTTTTTTGTGCCTTTGACTTTGTTCTTTGTTCTTTGTGTTGCTTTCTATTGCTTCTTACGCTTTCATGTATGAATGGCATTGTCATAGGGGGATACATTTTTATGTAATATTTTGGTTTGTAATTTGGTGTGACATTACTAATTTAAATTATATCGATATAATTATAAGTACGGAGTATTTTTTTTTAAAAGGCAGAGGAAGTAATGTTCATAAATAACTTTTACGGCACGTTTGGTAGTTGGTTATAAATTATGATACACCTTGGTGTATTATATAAATTTCATGGGAATAGCAATGAATTTGTGTGTTAATTTGTGAAAAAAGTTGCATGCCATGTGAAGTCATCTTTAAATCCTCATTTTCTTCATTACCATTTGCACTGTGATATTGACGGGTAATTAATGGAAACTCACAAAGAATTACTTGTTTGGTGATAGAGTTTCATTACCATGAGTCCACGGTGATGAACATGTTTTTTTTTTTTTAAAAAATTTTAAAATTTTTTTTTAACAAGTTTACTTACAAATTTATTACCATTTCTATGATTTGACCGCTAGTCAAACGGGTCGTTAAGATAGTACACATTATAAATACAATTTCATCTTAACTTGTTAACATTATTGAAAGAGTAAAGAGTGACGCATTTTTATAATTTGAGATTAGTTGTTTTCTTCAACATATGTCTCTAATTATTTTTATTTTTTTTTCCTTTATCCTTCATTATCTTTCAAAATCCACTCTATTTACGTTCGTGTGATGCCAACGATTATCTATTGAATCAAAAATCACTAAAAAAAGATAAGGAGTAAATAAAATTTTCTAAGGAAAAAGTAAGAAAGTAGACAAAGTTCCATGAATTTAAAGTGGATGTACATGTGGTTGGAGGAGGAATTTTTAAGGAGGTTATAAAAAATTTGGTTTAGAAATCTTTTAAGAGGTTGAACGTTTGAGCAATGTTAAAGACCTTTTTTCTTTTGCTGCAATCAAAGTATCAAGTAAAAAGACCACTAGTTTTTGTTATATAAAGTTAATCTTAATCCGTAAAAAAAGTTTAAAACATGAAAACGATGACACAACACATCATCTTTCAAGTTAATGAATCAAAAATGGTTCAGCTAATACGACGTACAGGCCAACGTGGAGAATTTTGATTGTGCATAATCAAGGCTATATTTTTGTCTATGTGCACAAACGGTACATGCTCTTGATTAAAAATATAGCTATGGTTGTATTACGTGTTAGGTCAGATGTGAGTAGGGTTTGTTCCATGTTGAAAAAGTAAAAGTTAAGCGATTTTAGTTTATAATCTAAGGTCCCATTCACTTTCTCTTATTTTTGCAGAACTGAAATTATTTTTACTGAATTGTAATTATTTTTGCTGAACTTAAATTATGTTTACTGAACTGAAATTAATTTTACTGAACTAAAATTATTTTTGATGAACTGAAATTATTTTTACTGATTTTCTGTTATATTTCTTCTTTAAAGCTACTAATTTTTACTAAACTAAAATTATTTTTAATGAACGGAACTTATTTTTACTAAGTTAAACTTATTTTTGCTAAACTGAAATTATTTTTATTGAATTTTTAAGGTGAAGTGAACAGGCTAAGTGGGCTACTCCTCATATTGCAAATTGATTTTAGGACGGAAACTTGTTGTGGGCTCTGGTTTGTGTTCTTTTGAGCTTCTCTCCCTTGTGCAATTGATAGCTACACCGTATTAATACCTACACTCCCTCTGTACTATACAGCTTGAATAATAAAAATCAGTTTCCCACATTTTCTCTCTCCACTTATCAATCTATTTCCCTCATAATTTTACTAACATTTAAAATTTCTCTCTCCTCATAATTTTACCACTTTCTCTTAGAGATATCAGTGGGCGGGTCAAGTAGGATACCCGCCCCAATGGGGTGGGATGGTTCTCGGTTTGGAGGGTGGTGGGGTTGGGGATGGGGATGAAAACCATACCCGTCATGGGTGATGGGGCGGGGGTGGATTTTAGGTTGTACCCGCCCCATCCCCGCCTTGCCCCACTTCATATTTGCCCCGCCCCAACCGCCCCACTTCGTACCCTCCTCATCCCCACCCCATAACCACATTTATTTAATTTTAAAAACAAAATAATATACTTTTATACTATTTTATAAAAATTATGTAAAATAAAATAGTAAATATAATACTTTGTAATACACTTATATATTTAAAATAAAAATGTGTAATATTGACATTTTTTAATAAAAATAAAAATAAAAAATTGTATTCTATATTAATTATGTAGGATTGTGCATTGTATATGTGAAGCGGGGATCGATTAGGCGGGTCTTGGGTGGGGATTAGGTGGAGGTGGATATCCAAGTGAGGGTGGGGTGGGGTGGAGATGAATTTTGGACCCGCCGCGAGGATGGGGATGAAAATTTTAGGTGGGGATGGGGATGTGTAAGCCAACATCTGCCCCAACCCGTCCGATTGACATCCCTACTTTCTCTTTCTATTTTTTCACTCTCTCCTAAACTACCAAATCTTTCAAATTTGTCTTGAAAAAAATCAAAATGTTCTTAAATCTCCACTAAAAGTCTAAAACATTAGATGTAAGACACAAAATCGAGAAAACAAAGAAAATTTCTACAAAAGACCCAACCAATAATCAAATTGTAAGTTGATTTTGTTTATTTTTGAAAAAAAAATTCAAACCCTAACTTTATATTTGCCTTATTCATCAATAAAATGAAATTTTAGTACTATTAATTCATGATTTCTTATAATTTTTACCATAACAATGATTTCTTATGATTATAGTAGAATGATGTTACTCTGTTTTAAGTTGACTTAACTTGTGGTGTGTGTTATTAGCTTATAAAATTATTGGGGAAAAAAATAAAAAATAGAGTTCAATTGCCCTAATTTTATGGACAATTTGACCTATTTCATAGGATTATAGAAATGTAAATTTAGTTCGTAATAGAACCTTTTTTTTTTTAAATTTATGAATGTTCATTTTCATTTTGGTAAATGTTCATTCATATTTTAGTATATGACCATTTTCATATTAATAGATTATCATTAGAGTATAATTCTTCACATATTTAATAAGAAATTTCAATTAGAGTTTGTGATTTCTCATAGTTTTTAATGGAAGTGATTTTTATAATAGTAATTGAAATGTTATAAGAATTTTCCATAATTATAACATATTTTATTAAAACTGTTAATCGGTGAATTCCGGCTAGTACATTAATCTATCGTAAATGTTCATTTTAGATGGACTTTATGTTCATTTGTAGAAGGATTAATATTTAAATTATAATTGCCAAAAAAAAAAATCAAATTATATAACTAAAATTAAAGACAAATTATCATTTTGATTTATGAAATCGAACCATCCATTATCAATTAATATTACTTATTTTGTTACTAAAAATGTTATTTGACGAATCTTGGCTAGTAAATTTTATTCTATTTTAAATATTCATTTTAGATGGAAAACATATCATTTTAGATGGAATTCATGTTCATTTATGATCAATTACATATTAATATATTTTTTATCTAAATTTGATACATGTTCATTCTCTTTGTATTATATGTTCGTTTTCATATTGAAAGTTGTTCATTTGCAATCTAATACAATATTTATTTTATATCTAAATATATTCATTTAGTTTTATACTTGTTCATTCTCATATTAAAAGATATTTGTTTCAATTATTAATACTTGTTTGTTATTATATTAAAAAAATGCTCAATTAAATAATATTTATATTTGTTCATTCTCGTATTGAAAATGTTCATTTGACTTTTAGTATATGTTCATTTTTATGTTGAAATATGTTCATATAGATTTTAATACTTATTCAATCTCATATTAAACTATACTCGTTTTCTGGCAATGTGTTCAAATTTGTTTTTGTAAATGTTTATTTAATTATTCTGTTTTGTTTAAAGTGTATTTTATACCTGGCAATCCTGACCCATACCCGATGACCCGACCCGACCCGAATGACCCGACCCATGACCCAAAAACATCTACCTGAAATTGACCCGAACACGAAATTGACCCGACCCGACTCGAAAATAGAGTTAACCCGATCATGACCCGACCCGAAATTGACCTAAAGTGTTTGGCCCGAATAAACTCGATACCTGAAATTGACCCGAACAGACCTCATACCCGAAATGTCCCGAACTAAAATTACTTTATAATTGAACTAAAAAATGTTTGGTGCCAAAAATAACTCAAATTGTTCATCTTCAACTGTAGCCAAGCTCATAAAGCGAATTCATAGCTTTATTAAAACATTACCAAAACATAAAATTATTGATTTGAGCTTGATCCACGAATGGAACAACCTGAACATGACCCGACCTGATTTTGACCCTACCCGAATATGACTCGAACATACTTGACCCAAAAATGGTCTGACTCAAACATATCCGACCTGAACTTGACCCGACCCAATACCTGACCCGAGTCATACCCGAAACCTGAAATGACCCGACCCAACCCATACCTGACCCGAGTGTTAACTGACCCGACCCGTACTCGACCTGAACGACCCATTTGCCAAGTCTAGTGTATTTTGATTGTTACTAATATTTTACTTTAAAATATTTTGATATTTTATTACACAGATGTATACATTGAGAAAAATATATGTATCAAGGAAAACGCATAAACATTATAATAGTGGAAGGGGTACAACTGTATAACAAGGGCGATGGTTCTATATACTTTTTATTTATACCTAATGTATTAAATTAAAAGACAATAATCATTTTGTAAAGCATATATATATGATATGTGTAGTTTGAAGTGTAAGATTTGCACTTT